TCGGAGGGGTACCAGATCAACTAATAGCAAAGATAAGATAGTACATAACAAGATTGTCCACTCAGCCAAAAAAGTGTCCGCCGGAAGTCTGCTCTTTGCTTCAAATGGCGCTGCAGTCTGTTTTGAAGCTCTCTTTCGTTTTTCCAGAAGAAAAATAGGAATAGCACCTCCTTGCGTGCGCAGATCGACTGCTGTTCATCAGCAGTTCGGGTACGTTCAGTGCGGAGTTTTAGTGTGTTTTTTTTTTATTAATAACCTCTCGCCTTTCATTCTAAAGTCAAATTAAACAAAGAAAACAATCACCCTTTCCTTCCTAGTCGCGTACGATCTCAGCGTAACCATTTTAAAAAAGCGACATGACGATGGGTCTGTCTGCCCTGTATGTGCCTTCTCCCCTGCTGCCCTGCTCCACTTATCTCGCCCTCTCCCTTCCATCCTCTGTCTCTATCTACGTCTCTCGTCGTTACCGATATACGTACATCGATATCTACATACCGCAGAGGTAGTGGTGTTGTGCTGGTAAAGCAAATATATAAATGTATGAGCCTTTTGTATAGATAGCGCCGCTGACCCGATCTCGATTTATATACCCGATCTTTTTCCGCTACCTATACCCATCTCTACCTATATACATACTGATAGAGAGAGAGAGAGGGAGGCAGAGAGAGAGAGGTGGGCAGAGAGAGAGAAACAGAGAGAGAGAGAGAGAGAGTGAGAGAGAGAGAGAGAGAGAGAGAGAGAGAGAGAGAGAGAGAGAGAGAGAGAGAGAGAGAGAGAGAGAGAAAGGAGAAAGAGAGGGGGCCGAGAGAACGGGACGAGGAGGAAAGATAGAAATAGAGGGGGGGGGTTTACCGTTCTTGTGTGTCTCTGTTAACGGCAGAGTGAATAACACTGAGTACGTTCTTTTATGAGTAAAACTCCATTAATAATATAGCCGGTTCCTGTTATGTTCAGATCTTTTATCGACAATTTGTGTGTCAAATAATAACTAATTTGTTTGGGCATCAGCTTGTCTAATAGACTGTATCAGAGATATTACAGAATTAGACTTCTTTAAATACGCTAAGATATCTTACTAATTGTTCACCTGCAAAGGAATGGGGGTTTTATGAAAAAGGAAATGAACAAGTAAGAAATAAAAACAAGCATGGCTTAGTCAATTCTTGTATGATAGACAATGAGCTTATACAAATGTTGCGTCACTACCTTCATCTGACAGCGAAACATAATAATATGAAAGGTGTATTTCGGTCAACCATAAACTGTTCTCGTAAAAGAATTATTGTATACTTCAGGAATTTGTGGCTACAGTTGATTACTGTCTCGGCACTATCGGTTTTGTGTGTGAATTGGAAGTAGGGGGGGGGGGGTTCTTTAACAGCATGTCATGGTGGTTTTAAAATAAGTCATTCTTATGTAAGCGTTATTCTTTTTGTTAATGACTATGTTGAGATTGTGACATTCATTATTGCGTCGCGTATTTACGATAAGTATTCAGAATGTTGTCTTCTCATCGAGGATGGAGTTAGCCAATTATCGGACCCTGGTCAAAGGAGCTGTAGTTTCCGTTGGTGGAGTTACCGGCGATGATGACTGAGGAGTTTCCACCTGTGAAGTTTCCACCTGAAGGGTTGATGACAAAGACAGGAAAGTTTCCACTTGTTGAGTTTCCACCTGTAAAGTTTCCATTTGAAGAGTTGCCAGCAAAGACAGAATAGTTTCCACTTGTGACGTTTCCACCTGTGAAGTTTCCACCTGTGAAGTTTCCAGCAAAGACAGAAAAATTTCCACTTGATGAGTTTCCACTTGTGAAGTTTCCAGCAAAGACAGAAGAGTTTCCGCTTGAGGAGTTTCCACCTGTGAAGTTTCCAGCAAAGACAGAAAAGTTTCCACTTGAGGAGTTTCCACCTGTGAAGTTTCCAGCAAAGACAGAAAAGTTTCCACTTGAGGAGTTTCCACCTGTGAAGTTTCCACCAAAGACAGAAGAGTTTCCACTTGAGGAGTTTCCACCTGTAAAGTTTCCAGCAAAGACAGAAGAGTTTCCACTTGAGGAGTTTCCACCTGTGAAGTTTCCAGCAAAGACAGAAAAGTTTCCACTTGAGGAGTGTCCACCTGTGAAGTTTCCAGCAAAGACAGAAAAGTTTCCACTTGAGGAGTTTCCACCTGTGAAGTTTCCAGCAAAGACAGAGGAGTTTCCACTTGAGGAGTTTCCACCTGTGAAGTTTTCAGCAAAGACAGAGGAGTTTCCACTTGAGGAGTTTCCACCTGTGAAGTTTCCAGCAAAGACAGAAAAGTTTCCACTTGTGGAGTTTCCACCTGTGACGTTTCCACTTGAAGAGTTGAAAGCGAAAGCTCTAGAAAAGTTTCCACTCGTTAAATTCCCAGAGGAGAGAATAGCGCCAAGTGTCGAATTTCCTGAGGTTCCGTTTATTGCTGTGAATATAAATGAAGGAATAATATTATAAGTTAAAAACTATTGTAAGCTTCAGAACTGAAGCAAATCTATCTATCTATCTATCAGTCTATCCATTTATCTATCTATCTATCTATCTATCTATCTATCTATCTATCTATCTATCTATCTATCTGTCTATCTATCTATCACCGAAGTGCTAAATGAAGGACATTCTGAGATTACGACACAATAGGATAATTGTGAAAAACGCTTGGTGGAGAATGGCAAAGTTCAATTTTAGTAAGAATGTTACGTCACTTGCAACCCAATAAGGTCTTATTAGTGCCGAACATTAGAGACGTTACATAAGAGTACCAAACACAAAAAGAATGGGACGATAGACGTTTCATAGGAAAAATGGAGAAGAGCATACCAGAGCTCCCTCTTCTCCCAAAATGGCAATATGCCATGTCTGCCATTTCCAGATTTTTTTCTAAAGTGTCGCTAATCTATGTGATAGCAGAACAGAACAAAGCGTGCACAAAGTTAGATCTAATAGGCCCCCAGCCATGCTGCATTAGGTTTCTTTCATTATAACAATCGGCTTCGGGAAAATTATTTATGGGAAATGAAATCACTAAAATAATTCCTTGGGCTACAAGAGATGAACGCCAGGGAATCTAAAAGAGGCATCAGAAAGAAACTTGGAAATGTATTCTACCAATCGTTGTGTTAAAGCCTTGCTCTACCCACTCATGCAACATGCACATTTAAACCTAAATAAATTCTGCTTCATATAACGTATTATTTTTTCATAACCGTTTAGAGTTGCCTGAGATATGGTCTCTCAAAACTGACCTTAAAAAAATGATGCTTTAAAAATTTTAGGAAATTAAAGAAACGTAAAAGTGTGT